ACATAGTTATGTGAACTTGAAATGCCATCAGTTTTTGAAGAAAGTGGTTTCTGAGGTCTTAATACTATTTAGGTGGAGTAACACATTTTTGTCTGAGCAGCAACAGAGTTTTGGAGTGTAGTTTAGTTTTAATTTAAATAAATATTTCTTTACCTAAATATTGCTTCCTCAAAAACATTATCAACATGGTTTATTTCATTATTTATTATTATAATTTTATTAAAGTGGTGCATTTTTATGGCAGTGACAAACCAAAGGCTTTTAATATTAGGCACCATACAAGCACAGATGTTGTTCTCAGGATCAATAGGTGCTGAGTGTGAGCATCTCTCAGCAGATGCTCCAGGTATGGAGCCTGTTTGCTTGTATTTGTCAGAAGCTGTCAGGAGAGTAAACCAGGCCCATTCAAGTTAAAGGTCGTGTTCCTTTACAAAATTCAAACTCATTCATTTGCTATAATGTAAGGGAAGCTGACAGGAGGGTGCTGGCATATGTCTTTTGTTTTCATGTGCTTGAACTTTCTTCTCTTTTACTCATCTTCCCTGCAAGTAAAAGGATTAGGTCCGGAAATTATATCTAAAAGTTTCTAGGGACTAATCTCTTCAGCTGTTGAATTAAGCTGTCATTTGGCTTTTTTTTTTTTCTTTTTTTTTTTTTTTTTTCTTTGAGATGTGAAGGAAGTACAGGTATAAGATTCGTCTTGTAATCTTACTTTGACTGATGCTTGCTTTTTTCTGCATAGGCTAGGGTGGTCATACACATACATGCAATTCTTTACCAGGACTTACACAAAGTCTTACAAAAAGTTATGGTTTTCTCTATGGACTTTTAGTGATTTTTTTTTTTTCTGTAAGCTAAAGACCTCTGTTCCAGATGGTCTCTCAGAACTCTGGAAGTTTGTGAAATAAGAACTCAGGATAAATATACTTAGTTGTTCCTGACATTTTTCTTATTTTATCAAAATACTTTAAGTCTATGGCACTTGAATTTAAATGTAATTGATATAACAAAGTAAAAACATCCTATGCTCAAATTCCTAGCTGACAAATTGGTGCTGGGTTCTGTTAGGGGCATTTTTGTGTGGTCGGTTTTTATTCTTGTTTTTTTGCAATGCAAAAGACATGTCTGGAGAGAAAACTTCTAGGTCCTTCATTGACACTATTTATTGTAGAGCACGCTTGGATTCAAAACTAAGTTGTAGGAGAAAGTGCTAACAGAGGACAGAGAGCCTCAGGTAATTTTTTTTTAATTAACAAAAGAGGTTGAAGATACTGATTTGCGTCTATGCTTAATTAAAAATTATTTATGCATAGATGAAACTTTATACACTGTGAGTAGTTCTGCTGGCTTCAGGTAAATGTCTTCTTTTCAGATGTGGACAGCCCTGTAGCAGCTGTACTGGGGCAGTTTTTGCCTGTTCCAGATGAACTGGTTGTGAATGAACAAGAGGTAAAGAAGCTTTATCCTCTACATTTAAATACAGTATCCACTCTTTTTCCTTTTCTTCGAATGGGTTGTTAAGTCTATGTTGGAAAGTAACAACTGTATGCCTATTCTAAAGACAGTTTAGCTAGTTTGAACAGATTAGGGTTGCACTTGGTATACTTTCTACGTATAAAGGTTTCTGATTTCAGCATTTTCTAGAAGTAATACCAGATTTAGAAATACAGTTTTCCATAAGAAAAATCAATTTATTCCGGTTTTGAAACCTTGCATTTGGCATTATGTAGACTGTTACTTCTGAGAACCATTTAAAGTCTCTTTTGTGGTGAAGGAAAGCACCAGAAGACAGCGAATATTTTCTTCCAGTAGGATTTTTTACACTCTTCCTCTTGATTAGATTTTAACAGTCATTAAGTCTTTGTAATTTTTGTTGATTTTTTTTTTTTTTTGTTGAAAATTGAACAGAAGACTAAAAATCTTTGCAGATGTTTGGCTTCTCATGTGTTACTTCCAACAGAGCTGGTAGCAAAAATCTCTGCAAATTTTTAATTGTTAACATTTGATTTGTGTGAATATGTGAATATGTCAGTACAAGCACAGCAAATTGTTTGTGGAGAGCAGCCACTATCATAAAAGAGGGAAGAAAAACCCCAAGGATCAGATCAAACAATGACTGAGGTAGTCTTTCATCTCTAAAGGGGATATATCTGCAAATTGGTGCCTAAACACTCCGGAGCAATAATGTAGACAGGCTTGTAATTCTTCTCTAGATTTATCCCGATTTAGTTGTTGCCTAGATTTCTTCTCTTGCTTTAAATATATTAATTTTCCTCTTCTTTACGGTCAGCTAGATTAATCACCTGTTAAAATAACAGCGATTTACAGTTATTCACTGTCCCTCCATCACCAATAATATCAGCATAATCCGAATTGCTCTTCCCTTGTCTGTCTCCATAACCAGGCCTTTATTAATCATACGTCTGAAGAGCCAGCATATCCACAGTGTGTTTTCTTGGCCTGTGAGATGATTCTTTTTTAAAATGTTGGGTAGACTTGAACCAGTTAGATGTCGTATTGCAACTGAACAGAATATAAAACATCAAATCACTAGCCAGTTTCAGTGGACTACCGGAATTGAAAGCAACTGAACCTAGAATTATCAGTAAATTGAAAATAGTGCACCAACACTGCAGCACGGAAAGATGGTTTGGGTATTTTGAATTGGGAGAAACGAGATTCCTGATGTACTGAATGGCTTCCAAGAAGAGATGCATGCTGTTTTCATGACTCTGCTTCCATGAGTTTTTATCAGTAACCTTGGCAACCAAATTATCCCTGAAACATTTTATTTGTGCTGTTTTTTCTCTGTTAACTTACAAGAATATTTTTTTAAGAGTTAGCATAAATGGGATATATGCGTTTTATCTTGAACAGTTTGAAAATGGACCCTTACAACCAGTAGCTAGCACTGCTGCCTTCCATCTAGAATCAGATCAGCATGGGCCAGTGAAAATAACCACAGAGGGGTAAGATGCGTGAAACATCTTACGCCCATGATGACTTTTGACTTTTAAACTGGCAATGACTCCTAGACATTTTCATGTTGCACAGCTGCTTCTCTCTTGTAACAAAAATGCAGTTCTGTATACATCTTGGTACTCATGATGCCAGTTGGCGGCAGTCAAGACTGTAACATGGTTTCAGGTTTTCTTAAGGTCAGTGCAATTGTGCTGTCCATTTCCCTGAAAAACATTTGATTTTCTAAGTTAATTGTTACGTGTCTAAATCTAATTGCCATGTGCTTAGCCTCTAGTTCTAACACTAATGGAATTCTTTTAATAATATTTAAGTGCAGATTATTTTAAAATAAGAGGCAGATGCATCCCCAGTGTGAAATGTGAGAGAGCTTTGCAGTTCCACAACCATTACCAGGTTGTAGGACTAAGGGCAGACCTGTCCCAGGCAGGGACAGAGGGAGATTGCAGGTTGCTTTTTCTTTTTTTCTCATACGCTCCATGAGGCCACACTTGTTAAGTAGCACCAATATTGGTGTAAAAAAATAAAATCAGTATTTATTTTTTCAAAACTATAAAATAATTAGTTTTCATTATTGTTGTATAGATATATTTTTTCTATTTTTTTTCCTTTTTCAACCTGTGTAGCTTACCTTTTTGTTCAGAGGTTACAAAGCCTAAGAAACCATGTAACTGCACGAAATCTCTGTGCCTTAAATTGTAAGTAATAGTTTATCAATGTTTAATAAGTGCTAATAATGGTGTATAGATGAAAGGACAAACATACAAGAAACGTGTGCTACAAATGCACAGTACGTCCATGTCAAAATTTATTCAACTGATACTGAGTTAGACGGATCCACAGTTGATGTAAACTAGTGTCGCACAAATTCAGAATTTGGTGGAAAGGTCTAGATGACTGCATATAATCCAAAATATGAAAAATAAAAAGAGAAGCTAGAATTGTTCAGAGCATGTCTGGAAAATCCGATGTTGAATGTAAATGCTGAACACTAAAATATCTTTCTGCTGCTCTTATGCATAAATAATATGCACAGAGGTGTATGCACGGTAATTGTATGGATGATGTATTGTGTGATGGCACCCGTTGATGGACTGGATGTATTTTGTAAAATGTAAAATTGAAAGAGAAAGAGAAGCTTTTTGTCTAGGTTTGGATGTGGTTAAATTACAGAGGAAGGAACATTTTTCCTGAGTAGAAACTGAACATTCTGCCTAGAAGTAGAATTGAAATTTTAAAATTTACACTTAAGCCAGTTAATCTTATAGTTTCTTATGTTATTTTACATGTTAATCATAGATATTGTGATTGCTTTGCCAATGGTGATTTTTGCAACAACTGCAACTGCAATAATTGTTACAACAATCAGCTTCATGAAACAGACCGATTTAAAGCCATTGAGGTAAAATAAAAAAAAAAGAAAAAAGAAAAAAGTACAGTACACTTTGGTATAAGCTTCATGTATGAAAAATGTAGCAGTATTGTTTTTTCCACTAGTTACAGTATTTGCAATATGTTAATTTTAGCCTAAATAAAGCTAAGTATTCCCTCTGAATTATTCTTACATAAAGAAATTTAGGGATTTCTTTCCTTCCTTTTATAGAACTTCTGGTACTTTGGATTAAAACTATTATTTGTTAACTGTATGATAATTTTTATTCTTGGAAGGAAATATTTGACCCCAAATTTAATTTCAGAAATTTTTTTTTGCTTAAAGGAAAATTTATTGTTTGTTTATTGTTCCCTTAACTACTACAGGCAGCAGTTAAGGGAAAACAAATGATCACTATCGAGATTGTTATTCTCATTGTCAGATCTTCTGCAGGTGTCTGTGTTAGTCTTCCTGGTTGACCTGTGCAGCAATGCAAAGTTGGCTCTCCTGGCAGCGACACTAAACCCTGCACTAGTGAGATGCAGATTGTTTCTCATTTGGAGACTGATTTTATTAGTGGAATAAAGAATAATATGTGGGCTAATTTTTGTGTGTATATAAAAAAATTGAATATGTAATGTTTTGTAAGTTTTAAAATGATAATGAAAAGTCTTATTCTACTGTCAATGCTTTAAGGATATATTAATGGCTTTGTGCTTCTTGTATGCAATTCTCCAGAACTTTTTCTATCATTCATGTCATTTTGGCATTGTATGAGACGTTGATCTAATTAGAGCTTTGCCGCAGCCAACCAGTCGAAGTGTCCTGGTTTCAGCTGTGACAGAGTTAAATTTCTTCATAGTAGCTCATGTTAGACTATGGTTTGGATTTGTGCTGAGAAGGAGGCTTATAACATACCGATATTTATAGTTGCTGCCAGGACGGTCAAGGACTTTTCAGCTTCCCTGTTGTGACCGTGGCAGCAGGTACAGGAGGAGCTGGGAGGGAGCACAGCCCCAATCACTAGCCTGGGATTCGACCTTAGGTTTAGGATTGAGATGCAAATTGGCCAATGGTCTATTCCATATCGTGCACATCACCCCCAATATATAGATGAGGGTCTGTCTGGAAGTTCTCTCTCTGGGTCATCTCTCTCCACGTCGTCTCCCACTGGGTTGACTCTAAGTCTTTCGGATACTTGGGCTCTTTTCTCTCTTCTGGGATTGCAGTTTTGGGACTCTCCCTGCTCTGGGATCATTAGCTGGGAATAGCCTGAGCCTTTGTCATTGGGTGGTGAGCAGTGTCACTGTGTATCACTCATTTGTGTATTTGTATGTATTGCTATTCTTATTATCATTATTATTTTCAATATTATTGTAGCCTAGTTATTAAATTGTTCTTATCTCAACCCATGAGTCTCTTTTCCCTTTACCACTTTAATTCTCTCCCCCATCGCTGGGAGGGCTGAGGGTGAGCAAGCCAGTTGTTGTGGTGTTTTGCTGCTAGCCAGGGTCAAAACCATAACACAAAGCTACAGCACTTTTTGTGACAACTAGTTTTCAAATCCCTTGCTCATTTGTAGTTCAGCTGATGGGATTGTTGGTGTCTAAGCACTCCTTTCACTGCTGTAGATGTCATCTTGTAGAGCATAATAGATTGTGTTTGTCACTGATGAAAGCATACCTATGCCATCCATTAATATTGTACATAAAGGGCATATAACCTCTTTAAGCTGCTTTTGAGTAGTCCATAGCATTGTGAGGTCAGGGGACCTAGTTAAAACCTGCTGTTCCAATCCATTAATGATTTCAGTGAATGGTCTTTGTATTGGGCCGTTAATAAAACAAGACATGTTTAAAACTTCTGAGGTGTATACTATATATGTAAGGGTTCTTTCTTCACTGAGAACTTTTTATTTTGGGTGAAAGTAGCATCAGCAATGAAAGAAAACCAGCCCCAAGAGAACAGTAGATGAGTCATTTAGGTTATACCGTAAAAACAGTGTAAATGGCTTCCTATGATAGAGCCAAGCCGGCTTAGTGTTCCAGAATCTTTGACTTCCTGCTGTGACATGCAATGGTTCCTGCTGTGACATGCCATGGAAGATTCCTTTATCTATGGGCTTCATACCACCAATAATGAGAGTGGAAAGTAAGAACTTATTTGATAAACTGGATCACAGTCATTCAGGTGTTTAAAAACATTTCTTTGTATTTCTCATAACCAAGCAATTTTTGGTTTAGCTCTGTCTTGACAGAAATCCAGAAGCTTTCTTGACAAAGATTGGGAAAAGGAAACTAGGAGAAATTAGACCTCACCATAACAAAGGATGTAACTGCAAGCGCTCAGGATGCCTCAAGAATTATTGTGAGTGCTTTGAGGTGAGTCAGGTGAACTTTCCTCTCGTCAGTTAATACTTTAACATTGACTATATTCGGTAACTAGTAGCTGCTAAAAATAATCACTTCTTGCTTTGCATTTTTCATCATAAAACTTCTTGAACATAGGAGGTACAGTCTCTTTCTTGAGATGTCTTAAAAGAACTGAAACTGTCTGAAGTTGATCAGCTAAAATTTTCAGTATCAGGAGCTCTCAGCCAACACCTTGCTCCAGAAGAAATGAAGCATGTTTTTCTGCTAATCCTGGTAGTTGATTTGCATCCATGGTGTTTTGTTATCTTGCCAAGTTATCCACAAAATTGAGGGGAGGAGTGATTTGTCCAAGTACAGAACATCCATCTCCACAGAGAATCCATGGGAAAAAACCTGTCTGTCCTGGTTTCAGCTGAGACTGATGTTCTCGCTCTGGGACTATCCAAGACCAGCACATCTAGAATAAGTCCCTGGTGCTATAACTCCAATGGTTGTTCAAATGTATGTTTAAGATTTATACTATTTTTATTCTAAATATTCTGTATTTGGTAGGCTAAAATTATGTGTTCCTCTATTTGCAAGTGCATTGGTTGCAAAAATTTTGAAGAAAGTCCAGGTGGAAAAAACCAGTTGAATGTGCTAAACTGCATGGACATTGGGAATAACGAAGGAAATAGCCCAGTTCTAACATCAACATTCAAAACATTACCAAAACTGAAGAAAGACAGGTGAATATTTGGAAATAGCAATGCATAGTCCATTGGTCTCACTTAATTAATTTTTTGTGTAACTATTGTCATAATTATCTAAGAAATAGTGACTAAAATGACAGATGTCTTATATACAAGGAATCACTTCACATAGCATTTGCCATCTTGTTTCTAGAAATAAAAAATATCTGACAGAGAAGCTATAACTATCCTTTAAGAATATAGTGTACAGAGTTCAGGGTTATATGTCTTCGTTCTGCTTACAAAACAGCAGTTATTTATGTATTGGTCACGTATTTCATTGTCTCAACGTCTTTTCCCTGTTAGCTACTTTATGTTTTTCCTTCAGCTTCTCTGTTCTTGAATTTTTCTATATTCAAGCATTCATTTCTAACAAAACCTTGACCAAAGTAGGACTAAGAAAATTATGTTATTAATATGTTTGTGATGTTCAATTAATAAGCATGTTTATACTACTGCTTCTTTCCTATCTGTTCTTCCTTTGGTCCACCTCCTGTCAATTTTATTTATGTTGGTAATTTGGATTATAAAATATTCTAAGAAGGCCATACTATCCTGTTGTTGTTATGCCTTTTAACATAGTTGTAGCCTAATCTCTATTTTTGGTTGGTTTATAGTAATTTGCCTAATAAAGACAAACAGCTGTTAATAACAATTAAAATTAATTAAACCACCTCTTAATTGATTTTAGGGAGCTTTACTCCAGGCTCTAAAATTCTCAGTTTGTGTACATAATTTTCTTTGCTTCTTTGCATCAACAATGACCTTGAAATTTTTGTCTTAATTCAATTTTTAAAATACTTTCTCATTGTCTCTTCTTAAAATATTTTAAGAATTTCTGCGTTGGTAGTGTATTGATGGGGTCGATAGTGCCAAGTTATACCTTTGCTTGAATTGCACAGTAGGATGAGTTATTAGTACAGTAGAATGAGTTAGGATGTTAATGATGGGTGGTTTTAAGAGTTTGTTCAAAGCACAGCTGCTAAGGTCCATTCAGGGAATCCTTGAGGCGTTTGGTGCTGTTTTCTTTAACAGCGGTAGACTGAATTTATATATAGTACCCCCTAGACCCTGACTACAGTTTTGTGTATGTAAAATGAAGATACTTCATACTAGTTTCTTTTCCCCTGCCAGGCCACCAGCTGTATGTATATCTTGGGAAGAAGTGAAAGCAGTATGTGCTTATCTCCTGATGCAAGCTGAAGAGGCAGAAAAAAGAGGTTACTCTGGCTGTCTAGCTGAGAGGATGATCATGGAAGAATTTGGGAGATGTTTGTCCCAGATCCTACATGCTAATTAAAATATAAAGGACTGAAAGTTGAATAATGCTAAATGTATTCTAAAGCCAATAAGTATTAATATTGGTATGTTGACATAGTCCCTACAGTTTTGCTACTTAATGATCTTACTTTGATCTTTCATAGGAATAATTTCATTGACTTCAGCTGAATTTCTGGGTTATACTGGTGTAAGCGAGCGAAACCAGCACCACATCCAGCATTTTCCCAAGTAACTTAATACTGTAGCAAACTGATTATATTTTCTACCAAAACACATTTTCTCTGTAGTTAGGTCTTTCTGAGCCGATTCTTCAGTCTTTACCTAGACTCTTATTAAAAGTTTAACTTAAAATTACTTTATGGGATGTTTCTGTGAGTGGAGATGCAGTAAAAACTGCTATCTTAGTTTGGTTATTTTATGAATTGTGAAAATTCCATTTCTAGTGGTAGCAGAAAAATCTAAGTTTAGCTTTGGGTCTTCTCTGTTTTGGCAACTTATTTCTGCTGTTTGAAGATGATGTGTTTTTGGAAAACAGAGCAATGTTGTCAGTACGTTTGGTATTTACTATTGGGAAAAAAAACCACACCTGACTTTGTTCAACATTCAATTTGTTGAACAGATGAGCCTCATAAAGAATAGGAGGAAGATGACCTCCTTTTTACGCCTACAGGAAAGTACAAGTGTTTGCAATGGGAAAATCTTTTATGTACATATCATTTAGGACTGACGTTTCCTGAATCCTACATTTGCAATCCTGTTTACCTTAAAGCTTGGAATAACTTTTGTTTAATGTTTGATTTTTCTTACGTGGCCATTTTCTCTGCGGCATTTCTTCCTCTTGTCATTCTCACTGTTGGGATAATAGTAGATTTTATTTTCTTTAATAGGAGTAAGCTATTTTCTGCCATGTTTCTGGAAAAGAAAAAAAAATTGTCATCTAAGTGAACTGACAGATTATATAAAAATTAATGCTGCTTGGTTTTAGACATTTTATGCTAAGTTAATAATATATGCTTTGATATTTTTGGCGTTGATGCTTAAAAGAATAAAGATATTCTCCATGTCATGTTGATTAATGAAAAATTCTTGCCAGTACTGCATGCTGTTTTATAAACAGGTTCTGAAATGGTCTTCCAGGTAGGATAGTGTGAGCCAGGAACCTAAACTATTAAAAAATGGAGCTTCAAATATTGCATAATTAAAACAGATTTCCTGGAGACAATAAATTATGTCTGTGGTACAAGGCTATGGATGTCTATATATTGGCATATTAAAGGGATTTTGAAAGGAAAGACAGTAGATTATGCCACCCTTGCATGGGTCTCGTGCTTTGGGGCTTTTCCTAGTCACCTGGCTTCTCCTTGATATGTCATTCTTAAAACCCCTACGTACCAAACACTAACAGATGCTGAGGCAAAATACAGGCAGTGTGTGTTCACCTTCGTAGAGATACTAAATTCCCCTGTTGAAATGCTCAGGCTTGAACTGATCAAACTTACTTTGGGATCATGAAAGAATTTTCAGCCACATGAGACAGGGAGTTTTTTTAGGATCCTCTCTGAGGATCAGCTGTGTTTCTTAGTGTTCTGACAATTCAAATATTTACTTGATGTTGATGCTCTTGGTTTCTGATTCTGTCTGCAGCACATAATTTTTTTTAATCCCTTGAGTCATGCGTGAAAAATAAAAGAAGTTGTTGGGAAGTGTTTAGGAAACATGAAGTAGATGTTCTGTGGTCCCTTCTAAACTGGACACAGATGTTAGTTATCGTCAACAAGGGCCTGGGTTTGAAGATCCGACCCTGTGTGCCTAAATACCACATGAAAGAGGTGGAATGCGTGGTACCTGAGCAAGAAGAGCGGAACGGCTCTGGTGTTTGTGATAAAATCAGCCTACTTGCTGCCACACAAGTCCATAGTGATGAGGTCAATACAATGTCAACCAGGAATTAAATCAGTGAGTGGGGATCAGCAGGGCACAGAGAGATCTATGATGTAGCTCAGAAAGGAGCAAGGCCTGAGCTTAAAAGCAGCTTGTGAGGGACAGGGGGAGGTTCCCAGCCAGGCTTGTCACAGCTCTTTCTCACACAAGTCTGATTCAAGGCTACAGCAGTGCCGTGTCAGAGCTGGCCTCCAGCACAGGCAGCCAAAGCCCTGGGAGGGGAGGAAGAGGTTTCAGAATCCATTGGTTCTTTTGGGGTCCTGAGGGTATGGTCAGAACGACAGGTTTATTGTGCTGCTCCAGGTTCTGTCGGTTAGGTAGAGACCTGTAAAGCAGGTACCCCTTTTTCTCCCTCTCACATAAACAGCTTGGCCCCATTTTACACTTGTACTGTTGTTCCCAGTTTTATTAGGGTTTGGGTTTTTTTTCATTTGGGGAGTGGGAGGGTGCATCCTTGCTTAGTAGTTTCAGCCTTTGTTAGTGACCCCAATAAGTCAACACATGACTTTCTATTTTCAGTCTTCACCCAAAGAGAGTTCCAGATGCTCCCTTTTCAGTATTTGATATCTAGAAATGTCTCCTGTTACTGTCCTATAAATTTAGCCCCCTGTTAAGTTTGGCCAGCTGATTTTTCCCCTCCATTCTCTGCAGTATCAGGCATTTTCTCACACCCTATTGGGTTAACTCTGGCCACATCTGGCCTTCTGTACACATCCCTTAACAATTAGCGAGTACGACTGAAAGTGATGAACTTTGTACTGATATAAAAGTATTATATTCATGGCATTCTATTTTACTGCACTGATCCTGGGAGCAGTAGTTTTTTTATTGGATGATAAAACTCCAGTGTCATTATTTAATTCCTGTGTTTAGGTGATTTTCATTTACATTTTTCAGTTGCAGGAATAAAAAAAAAAAAAAGAATTACTCTACCTGTTGTACTGACAGTTCTGTGTGTGTTTGGTACTTCGGGCATGTCTGTATTTCTGCTCCTGGGGCAAAGCAAGGGCAAGTCAGCTCATTCTGTAGACCTGCTTGTACCAAGTAGTAGAATGCACGGGCAGCTTTACACAAATGGTCTTCATTCCAGCTGTTGCAGCGTGGCAACCTGCTGTGGCATTCTTTATGTTGTTTATTTATTGCAGTTCTTTTTTACAATCATAGTAACTGATTAAGCTGTGTCAGGCCTTTTGAGAGGTGCTCATAGTTAACAAGTTTACTAATGAATGACAGACCACAGAGCTCTGTTTACAGAAGTGATGTAGTTGGTGGCTAAGGAGCTCAAGAGGGATATCAGAGACCTGAGTTCACTTCTTAGCTCTGCTGCACGCTTCCTGGCTAGTCTTGAGAAATCCACCGAATTTCCACGGCCTTGATTCAGGAAAATATTTGAATACCGCAGAATAAAGCCAAACATGTTGTCAAGGACATTCTTGAATTAGGACTCTTGGTAGCAGGATGACAGGCCCTTCCCTCCCCCCTTTTTCTCCTTTAATCTGACAGTTATTCGGGGCTCAGTCCATAACCCATCCAAAGTCTCTCTGTTTGATGCAGCAAGCTCTGAGTCAGGCCTTTAGAAAGAATAAGGAAAATGAGACCCTGACTACCTAACAGAACAGGGCCCTGATCCCACCTGGGGCCTCTACTATAACAGAGATTATAGAAATACTGCTAATATGTTTGGGAAAAGAAGAGGTGTATAGCAAATTTGCAAAACCCAGTAGCTATCCTATAACCATACCCCAAAATAATGCTTTCATAAATCTTCATTACAGTGTGGATATTTGCCATTCAGTATTACCCACTCCAGAGACCACATGTGACTCATTATTCAATTACTTCAATCTGCGCTGATGTAGAAGCTCCCCTGACACATCTCTTTGTAAGCCATTTCTTCAGAGTAATTGCATTAGTAATAGCCAATTACACAGCAATCTTATGTTCCTACAAAATTAAGGTAATTACTGCAGCTAGAAACACATCCCTCTGTGTTCTGTTCTAGCAAGCAAGCTGGTAAAAGGCAACGTAATGCTTCAATTCTTTATAACAAGAGAAACATTAAGGTATAATTATAGTATTGATGTGGCGTTGGAAAAGTTTTCCTATCTGAAAGGAGCATGGAAAGGTAATCATAGTTTGAAGCTACAAATTGCTAGTCCATAAAGGGGGGAAACAGATCTTCTGTGTTTAGGTTTCTTAACAAGTATGGAGGAAATGTATTTGAAATACATGAATGAGTTTGTGTTCTGTACTTTGAAAGTAGTAGATGCCTGTCTTTGAAATAGATTTATTATGCAAAAGGTGCATTTTTCTTTCAACTGGATTGTCCAGAGAAGCTGGTATGGATTTATTTTTATACTGCAGTAAATGAGTATTAATTTGTTCCTATGACAAACCTCCTGAATACTAGATTCAGCTTCTAATTAGTCTGCTATATGTTCTATTAAATTTTATGTTATAGAATTTAATTTGTGTTTTAATTTTCACCTTTCATGGTGTCTTTGAGGGAAAGCTGACATATCACATTTTCTTTGCTACAACGTTAGATGTTTAATATAACAGCTGACGAAGGACAGACAGACCATTCCCATTCAACTTAGCTAAGTAATTCAATCTAAGTAGTCTAGAAGCGATACAGAAAAGCCAGTCTATTCACAGGTATTACGCAACGTCAAAATTCATAGTCAGAGGGTGCCACTAGGTCATTCAAGAGTGGCAGTTTGTGTTTGGATGTGGACTGATGAAAGTGCGCAGCAGGGTGAAAGTCCTCCTCGCAGGTTTTACTTTCTGTGGCACTGGTGTGCAGTGTTTGAATTACTGAGTGCAAGCTAATGACCCTAGAGTAGATAAGAAATGGTCGCTTGTGGGGTATTTCTTGCAATGTATGATCTACGAAGCTGATAAGGATAGCATGGTGCTCCAGATCGCTTTGATTGCAAAAGTTAAGCCCAGCAACTGAGCGTGGACTGTTCAGGTAACGTAGCACAGTATGAGAAAGTCAGGTGTCAGGTTTAGCCAAATTCCTTTGATGCAAGGATCTTAGCAAATGTTGCATATAGTTGCCATTTTAAAATAATA